AAAACTACAAAGGAGCCTCTAATAAATCTCTCGGGACGGCGACTATGCAAGAACTCCGTCATCCTGTGGCTCTCCGGAACTCCGAGCTACCTGAAAGGGTATTTTTAAAAGAAAAACAACAACAACAAGAACGTTAGAGCGTTACAGCAAGATTACCTCCATCCGCCCCCAGGGAAAGGGCTACTAGATGGAGTGAAGGCTCTATCTATTAAGCATAGTCTGCCTAGATTTATTTTTCCCGTATCTAAGTAGGATTAACATTTAGAAACCTACAACACGAGACGTAGTACGTCGAACGAAATAATCCAAACAAGGAAACCCTCATGTATATACCATAAGTCTCAAATTGTAGATATCTAAACATTACTACCGAACTAAAAAAAGACAATCTAATAAAACCAATAATTAGAAATTCATAACACGAGACTGGTACGTCGAGCGAAATAATCCAAACAAGGAAACCCTCATGTATATACCATAAGTCTCAAATTGTGAATATCTAATCATTGATCCCAACTAAGAAGTAAAAAATAAAGACAGTAAAAGAAATAAGATATTAACACATCGTATTTATAATATCTTCCACAATCACTGGAGAGATAGAATAACATACCAACACATAATTTTGTATACTTTTAAAAGTAACGTATCTCAGTTATATAGTTCACTGATAGGTCGTATTTATAATCGGCATCTGTCATACTTAGGCTATCAAGTAATTGTCTCAGTGCGACGGACTACTCTATAGGTATCCTGAACTGTATACACGGCTCATTAGTCTCATCACGATCTCAGTGCATAACCTGAGTGCGGGACGGACTACCAAATAGGCATCCTAGAAATACGGCTCACGAGCCTCATCGCACCCTAGTACGGGATGGACGGCTAGATCAAGCCTCCTAAAATCCGACTCAATGGCCTGTACATGTGGAATATCGACGCACTAACTCATGTAGTACTGAACTTAGCTCATCAACGATATCCACCTCATATAAACCTTTGTACCTCTGGCATATCGATGTACTTTCCCATATAATACTGAGCTATGCTCATCAATAATAGTTACCTCATGTATAAACCGTGTATATCTGGTGTGTCGACACACTATCCCATATAGTACTAAGCTGTGCTCATCAACGTCATCTAATATGTATATGAACTATATCTAATTCAAATATGATCAAATCAAAATTTATCATAATCTCCTTGTAATTCTTAAATATATAACATAACATATTCATGACTATATGTATAACATCAAGCGGCTCAAAACTCCGCGAACGCACCTCAAAACGGCGCAACACAGCTCCACAAAACGAGCAGGAAAAATAGACGTGACATCTGTTAGTAAAACAAGCATATCTTTCTCTAAGAAAACTATTTTTATAAATGGTTTTATGTTTTGAAAACTAGATTCATATAGATTTCAAATTACATAAGTTTGGTTTAGTTTGGAGTTCATTTGTTATCCCAAATCTCTAGTTAAACATTATATATGTGCAGCCATTTTTCTACAGGACATGTTTTTAGTAAAAAGATCATATCTTTCTCTATACAAATGATTTTTAAGATTTGTCTTCTGTTTTAGAAACTAGATACATATATCTTTCATTTGGCACTAGTTTGGTTAAATTTGAATTTTTTTTCTATTTTGAAATCTCAGTTAAACATGATATAATTACTGTAGTTTTCTGTAGAAAATATTTATTTAGTACATCACTTAAATTTCTCATATATAAATAAAATTATGAAAAACCCTAATTATCATGATCATGATACTATCATAAAAAGCAAGAAAAAAATTACTAATCTAGCATTGGTTTATGTTTTAACATCAAAAATTTAAATTTTATCACATCATGTTAAGATTCAAGCATGAAAACATATATTCAATATCATATTAAACATCTAACTAGTTATTTAACTATGGGGAAGGATTTGGGTGAAGATAATCTTGCCTTAGACGTTGTTCTAAACCTCTAAAATAACCAGTAACCAAAAAGAAGTGCAACCAAGCCGTTTTCCCCTTGCTACACGTTGATGATCTCGCCCTCGTGTCGATATTTGCTTTACAAAGCTCTCAAAATTCTCAACTTTAGGGCTAGAGATTTAGAGAGAGGAAGAGGTACGTGCTGCTAGGGTTTGAAACTCTGATGTAAGGATGTAAATTTTTGTGAAAATACATGATTATATATATGCAAACCCGAACTAAACCCGTTTGACCCGAACCAGGAATCCTAATCTGACTAGGAAAATGATCTTCGGTATTTTGACTATAACTTTCTCATACGATCTCAGAATGAGGTGATTAAAGATTTGTTGGAAAGCTGTTGAAAAGATCTACAACTTTGGGCTTTTGAGTTTTCTCAGATTCTAAGTGAATCATAGTGTAAAATCTATAAACGCTTAACTGATTATTTTTCCCAGATTTTTCTCGTGCATGTTTTGTGCATTTGCACTCATATATTCATATATATGTATCGAATTGATCTCAAATCAATTACTAGCATACTCAAATATTAATAAACATTATTTATCATAATATAATATTTTTATTATTATATTTCTCAATCATTCAGAATTACGGGGTTTTACAATATATATATATATATATATATATATATATATATATAATATATATATATATATATATATATATATATATATTATTTGAGAGAGAGAGAGAGAGAGGGATAGAGAGAGGAGAGATAGAGATAGAGAGAGAGAGAGCGAGAGAGATTAATGGGTATCCTTATCATAGAGGAGATTTCCTCCTTGTCGCCTATGTGGCACAATCCCCACAATCCTCATAAAGTAGGCACAAATCCCCACCAATTCACACACTCTCTCCTACTTTATGGGCGATGGTGGGATTGTGCACTAGGCGTCAAGGAGAAATCCCCTCCTATGGCAAGGATACGCAATTAATCTCATATATATTATATATATATATATATATATATATATAATATATATATATATATATATAATATATATATATATATATATATATATATATATGGGGAAAAGTGAATCTAATGTGACACCCTAGGCTCCCACCTAAGGACGCGGCCTAGAATCACATCATTTCCTAAATTTTTTTACGATCCGCTCTGTTGAACTTGATCTACACGTTCTTAAACCCAACACACCGCCCAATTTTGGGGTGAACCCGTCGTGTTTTGACCATCCGTTGAGCGTGCCAAAGTTCTATTCATTCGAAACCGTTTAAAATTACAACGAGTGGATAAAGGGTCAAAACGACGGCGGGTTCACCCCAAAATTGGTGTGTTTGGGTTTAGAACGTGTAGATCAAGTTCAACGGAGCGGATCGTAAAAAAAATTAGAAAATGATGTGATTTAGCCGTCCTTAGGTGGGAGCCTAGGGTGTCACCTTAGATTCACTTTTCCCTATATATATATATATAATATATATATATATATATATATATATATATATATATATATGAGAATAATGGAGGTGAGCTGGGAGCTCACCTCTCCCCGTGAGCTGCAAGTGTAGACGTAGAGAGAGATATGACTATTAGGGGGCTCACATGTCAATACACTTGTAGCTCACGGGAGAGGTGAGCTGCCAGTCCACCTCACCTCCATTATTCTCTCCTCTCTCTCTCTCTATATAATATATATATATATATATATATATATATAACTCAAAATAGGAATTAATATGTCCCCTTAATTTCCTTACCATACAGTAACCCCAATTCAAACAGTTCCTCAGTCCTCTTTGACCTAATTAACTCTATTCTTCTTCCTCTAACTCAAACATTAATTGGTGTTCCTTACCGAATTTTTTCTAAATTGATTCCTAGAATAGCTACTTTAAAACAGGATTCAGATCCTCTCCACTACATAATCACAGCCATTGATTATCAAGTTGATGGTTGTGATTTTTTCTTTTAGTGCAAATTAGTAATGAGTGTACTGCACAGGGGTATGGTAAGTGTTAGATTTAGATTGTATCATAACTGCCTACTAAATAATCAACGACTGACATTAAAAGTAGTGGTCACTCCATTATTTTTTTGTAGTGGAGAGGATCCAAATCCTTTAAAACATGCGTTATTTCTGTTAAATTTGAGGGCTAATTTCATGGAACCCTTTGCATTTTTCGCTCTAAACATTAATCTCCTTTTCTCATCATAACTCCTTTCCTATAGTTTGTAATTAACTAAAATTTCTTTGATAGAAAAAGTTTTCAAGTTGTCATTTCTATCCCCATTCTTTAAGGGTGTTTTCCTCCAAAAGAAATTTTCCCAAAGAATTCCCTTTCTTAGGTTTTTCTTTTTCTTTCTTTCTTTCTTTTTTTTTTGCTAAACTGTTTTCAATGATTAATTAATGATGCACGACTAAAGATATCTTTTTGAAATATTAAATTCGGTCGTTCTCCTCTTTCATTCTTCGGTATCTTTATTACAAGAAAATCAAAACCAAACTAAGTGCTTAGTAGCCCAACCGACTGCCAATAAAAAACCCCCGACTTCAAATCAGCAGTCAAATCCTCGCCAAACATGCAACCCTATAATTAATACCGTTGCAACATCTCCACCTCAAGCCCACAAAAATACTTAGCCAATCACCCTGCAATTAGATACTAAGAGCATCTCCAACAGCTTCCCCAAAATTTTTTTTAAAATGGAGAAACAAAAGTCATATTCTCCAAATTATTTTTGCTCCAACTCCAACAGCTTCCCCATTTTAAAAAATCGCATTTATTACAATAATAAAGCTCTCTCCAAAAATTTGGAGAATGCTGCAGATTTGGGGAAGGCTCCCTATTTTTTCTCCTCCTTCCCTATTTTGGGGAATGGGATGGGGAATCTGTTGGACCAAAAAAAACCTCTATATTCTCCAAAATTGAGTATTTCAAGAAGATGGGGAAGCTGTTGGAGATGCTCTAACAAATTAATTAACCCATGCCTTAATTCTCTTTCCATATAAACCTTAACACTCGTCTCATTAATCCCGCTCCTCTCATGGCCTCAGCATCTTCACCGTCCACGCTCAATCCAGTTCTTGCCCACCAACACAAGCACAAAGCTAAGCTCGCAACATCCAATCTCATCGTACCCCAAAACCTGACGGCGTCGTCGACGAAACCCGACCCTATAAGGCCCAATTCGTCGAGCGTGAGGAGGGAAATTCAGGGCTCAGGCAACTGGGAGCACCTCGTCAACCCCCTCAACCCTTTGCTCCGCTCCGAAATTATCCGATACGGAGAATTTGTCTCTGCCTGCTACAAGTCCTTCGACTTCGACCCTAAATCAAAACGCTACCTCAACTGCAAGTACGGCAAGAAATCGATGCTGTCGTCGACCGGCATGGCGAGCTCCGGCTACGAAGTGACCAAGTACATCTACGCCACACCGGACATTGCGGTGCCCACGCAACCGGGTGCGTGCAGTGCCCGGTGGATTGGTTACGTGGCGGTGTCGACAGATGAAGAAGAAAATTTTGGAATCGGCAGGAAGGATATCGTGGTAGCCTTTCGAGGGACGGTGACCTACACAGAATGGATCGCCAACATGATGAGCTCCTTGACGCCCGCCAGGTTCGACCCCAACGATCCGAAACCCGATGTCAGGGTCGAGTCAGGGTTCCTCAGCCTCTACACATCCTCCGACAGCACGTGCAGATTCAGTCAAGGCAGCTGCAGGGAGCAGCTCCTCAGCGAGGTGTCGAGAATTATTAATAATTGCAAAACCGAAGAGCTGAGCATCACGCTGGCAGGTCACAGCATGGGCAGCTCGCTGGCTCTGCTGCTTGGCTACGACATACCGAAGCTAGGGCTGAACCGTAACGGGGCGGTGCCGGTCACGGTGTACTCGTTCAGAGGACCGAGGGTTGGCAACCATGGGTTCAAGAGGCGGTGCGAGGAGCTCGGAGTGAAGGTGCTGCGGGCGGTGAACGTGAACGATCCGGTGACGAAGTTGCCGGGGTTCTTGTTGAACGAGAAGGTTGCTAGGGTTGTGGGAGGAGAGAGCTGGTATGGGAGTTATTGCTATGTTCATGTTGGGGTTGAGTTGGAGCTTGATTTCTTCTCGATGGAGAATCCTGCGTGCGTTCATGACTTGGACACTTACATAGAATTGATCAAATCATGTCCTTATAATAAGACCAGGGCTAAGGATCTGAAGGGAGTTGAGGTCGTCAGCAAGGTGAGAGAGTTGATGAGCAGGGGAAAGAAGACTAATATTGTTGATGCATGGCCTTGGAGCTGGATGCATGCAGCTAGACAAGTAGGCGACTTAGTGCAGTCCTTAGGATTTTGATTAGGTAGGCCTTAATTAAGTTATTGACTAACTATTAACTCAACATGGTATCAAGAATGTGTGTACTTGTTATTAGCTAGATCACACGTATATTTGTTGTATAGAACTGTAAGAACTTTATTTGTCATTAATAAATACTTCTTCGGGGCTCATTAATTCGGAAAAGCATTAGGCAAAAGAGAGACTAGGATGTGTCACCTTTTCTCTTTGATCAACTCTAAGATTTTTAAATCTTCAACTGAGGAGGTATATGTGGTCAACTACTTGTAAGGACCAACTCTGTATCTCCTTCATATCAAGGATATCTAATCTTCTTCTATATATCATTATTGTAGAATAGTATTTTTTTTAAACAATTAAAGGATTAACCAAATCCTTTGATTAAATTGAAGTGCCTTCTTTCTCTAAACTCTACGTGTAGAATTGGCAGAATAGCAGATTTCAGGCTCAGGTTCAGCTTCTGGCAGTTTGTCGGTCGACCGCGGGCTTTGGCGGTCGACCGCGTTTGTGCACAACCCTTACTGTGCGTCTGCACCTGTGGCGGTCGACCGTGGCGGTCGACCACAGAAGTTTCTGTTTTCGTGGACCACATAAGTTACTGGAGATTCGCTGTTGCTCTGGGATTGCGGGTGGTCGACCGTGGCAGTCGACCACGATGCGACCGTCACGGTTGACCGCCGTAGCGGTTTTGGGCTGGGTCTGTTTCCAGACCCGTTTCTTTTGGGTTCCCTATATATACCCAATGTGAGTTTCTAGGGTTTGTAAAGCAAGGGGGTTTTGAGCAGATTGAGAGGGTTTTCTTTGGGCTTCTATTCTAGGAGCAATTGGTGAGATCAAGAGTAGATTTGTTGAGGGTTTATGAGAGATTTGTAACCCTAGTTGTATCCCCTTGATTTATAATAGTGAAAACTCCCCCCTCCTTGCCCCGTGGACGTAGGCATCTCGCCGAACCATGTTAAAACTGGTGTTATTGTATTTGTGCTATTGTTTGGTGTGTTTGTTCATCTCTCTCGGCTATTTGCTTGGATCTCGGCATAGGGGTTTCTCCCCAACAAGTGGTATCAGAGCTCCGGGCAACGCTTGGGCTTTTTGGAGGTGTAGATCAGTTGGGAAGTTTATCTAGAGCTTCGATTGGTGATAAATGTGGGATCTTTGTGGTAAAGTTTCTATCTTTTTCAAGTTGGATCTATTTCTTGTTTGTTCCGCAATTGTTTGGGTGATTTGAGATATATGGCCGGGAAAGATAAAAGTGGGGAGGGTTCTTCTAGTTTGAAGACCGTCCAAAGTTTGAATACCCATTCTATAAAGATAGATGTGGAGAAGTTCGATGGCACAAATAATTTTAGACTTTGGAGATGCGAAGTCTTGGATGCGCTAAATACGTAAAATTTGGAAGATACGTTGGAGTTGGAAGGGAAATCGAACGACATTGATGAGAAGGTTTGGAAGAAAATGATTAGAGCGGCGTGTAGTGTGATTAGGTCTTGTCTTTTCCAAGATCTAAAATATGATGTGATGAATAAAACTTTGGATTTGACAAAGAGCGTCAAAAATCGTTTGTATTTGAAGAGGAGGCTTTATCGCTTCCAATTGAAGAAGGGGACGTCCATTAGTGATCACATAAACCACTACACGAAGCTACTTGCAGACTTGGCGAATGTAGATGTCATTGTTGAAGATGAGGATAAGGCATTATTGTTATTGAGTTCCTTGCCCGATGAGGAATATGAGACCTTCGTCTTCACTCTTATTAATTGGAAGACATCTCTTTCATATAGTGAGGTCACCGCGGCTCTTGTGAATTATCAACTTCGAAAGAAGGACAAAGAGACTTCCATTGAGCCGGTTGCGGGGGCATTGGTTTATCAACTTCGAAAGAAGGACAAAGAGACTTCCATTGAGCCGGTTGCGGGGGCATTGGTTGCAAGAGCTAGAAGTCCAAACCGTGGTAGGAGGATTGAGCCGGTTGCGGGGGCATTGGTTGCAAGAGCTAGAAGTCCAAACCGTGGTAGGAGGTCGCAGTCTAAAGGGGAGATTTGTAACTCTATATCTCCTTCATATAAAGGATATCTAATCTTCTTCTATATATAATTATTGTAGAATAGTATTTTTTTTAACAATTAAAGGATTAACCAAACCCTTTGATTAAATTGAAGTGCCTTCTTAATTTCTCTAAACTCTACGGATGCCCAGGCCTAGGATCATGCATAAATTTCAGTAAATACGCCGACAGGTCAGCGCTGAGTGTTATACACCTAACATATGACAACGACTCAAGTACACTTTAGTGCTGGATACAGGATAAATATATCTAAGATAACTTTATATTTTGAACTTGGATGTTAAGAAGAATTTAAATTTATATTTGAAATTAATCAAAAGTTTAATTAATTAGGTCAATACAGAGATAAATCATGACCACTCATTATAGAATCAATAATTGTCATAATATAGTAGTCTCTCCACTGCCTTTTTTTCATCAATGAAAAATACTATTAATTAATCAAGTGAACAGTTTTCTTGCATCAAAATCTCAAAACTTGAGAAAACAAAATTACAAAGAGCTCACAAGCTCAAATTAGAGGGTACGTAATATTTACTTACTTGAAAACTTGCTCAGTTGTGTGGGCCTTCCTTTCAAATATACGTTGATTTCTTTCTTGCCAAATGTGCTACATGATTTTTTTCTTCAATGAATCGGCCGCTCTCCTTGACTGTTGTATGTTATGCGTGTATTATGATTATTGATTAATCTGAATATATTATTGTGATAAATCTATAAAAGTGTTAAAGTGAGCGTTTAAGGAGATAACCCTCTTATCTGTCAAACACAAAAAATCTATAAAAGTGTGAAAGTGAGTTAAATCTCTATAATTTGCCAAATATGTGAAATGTAAATGGGTTAAGATAACCCTTCTACAGAGGTTAAATTAATTAGTTAACCCCTTAAAGTGAGAGATTTACTAATACTCTTATTTAGGGGGTTTAAGAGCTGCCCCTCTATTTATAAAGATCATAGTCGAAATCCTCATAATTCCCAAACACTACAAATAATCACAATGACTAAAATAAATCTTACTTAACGGGTTAGCGATTTAACCCGTCACCTTATCAAATGGACTATGTTAACCATTTTCCTTAGTCCTTCCTCACGTCTTTGGTAAGCAGAGCCTAATAGCTTTCTCAAATTTGTCAGGAGTTCAAACTTGGTATATTTTGCATGTTCTATTTAAAAAAAAAAGCATATTATATGAAACCTTTAATTGTCTGCAATATTTTCTCTTTTTATGTTTTGTTCCCACTTGAAAACCAAGAGGAAGGATGAGATGACACCCTCATATTGGTTGATTTTGATCACAATTCTAGGAAACTCATTTGACAGTTTTTTTTAAAATAGGAAATAGCTTGAAACCATTTATGAAGGTTTCTTCACCCAAGTTTCTTTTGTTGAATTCCTGGAAAATTAACCAAACAGCCCATACTCCATAGAATATATTGTAATTTCTTTAAAGCTGCACATAAAATTGGGCAAAGAAAACAGTCATCACATGATCCCGCGAGTCATAATCAAAGTCTCCGTACAACTAGGTTGGTGCCCTCCTATCATTTATTACTTCATTAGAAGTAAAATCATTAATAATGTTATCATTCTTGGTAGCGACCGATCCTAATAAAAGTTGTATTAATCCAGATAGCAAATAAAAGAAAATAAATATAAAAATTATCTATAAAGCAGGTAATTTACTTAATAAATACAAAAATTAGCTATAAATTAAGCAGGTAATCTACTTCTATATTCTTTAACGTCACTGAACACTACCTGGTTCTACCACTACAATTAGGTGTAAGAATTTTTTTTTTCTCATATCCTAGAAATCTCATATGTTAATCATATAGGCGATATGCATCTTTATTTGCTTACCACCAAAGCTAGCTTGGCATCCCCATTTGTCACTTACGCATATCCTACTTTCACGTATTTGCTCAAGATTTCATCTATTATTAGGTTGCCAATATTTTCTACCCACCATATATTGGCCTTTGAACTTAATTCTTTTATCTTGAGATACATGCATTTGTGTGCTCTCAGTGACTAGTACGATGAAGGTTGAGGACTTTTTTGAAGTGGACAAAAAGTCTAACTCCAGTTGGGCAAAGCATGCATGATGCCGCTTGACTTGAGGCAACTTCTTCAATTATTGACAGCTAGCAAGTCGCCCCGGCCCTAGATATTCTTGTCACTATCCGAGTCACTATTATTGGTACGAATTAATTCACGCCTTTATATTCTCTCTTGTATTTTCAATACGGTCATATACAAATAAAACACGCGAGCATCTAGAATGGAGTAATATTCCTATTAGAACATAACCACGTATGGAGCGCGGGGGGGGCGCGCGGGGGGGTTAATTCATTGGTATAATGGGGGCAAATTGGGTTAAATGGTTCCAACGCGATAATTAATTTTACCCAATGAGACAATTTGAGTGGGATAAAGTGGGGTAAAATAAGATAATGAGACAATTTGAGTGGGACAATTGGTATGACATCTTTTTATAATATGATATTATAGATCAATTAAGTTCAAGTTTAACTTGATATAACATCAAATGATTAAATAAATAATAGTTATAATATACAATAATATTATTTTTAAGATTATTTTAATATAAAATCTTAAAAAAATATAATAATAATATTAATATTAATCAATCTTTGAATATTTTGATGTTTATTTTAGCTATTATGTTATATTAACAAAAATTTTAATTACAATAATTATTTAATCATTCCTACATCTATTACAATGATGATGATAAAGTCTCAATTATTACAAATAAAGCCTTTAGTCAGTAACTTAAATCTTAATTATTACAAATATAATCTACCGACATATAACTTTGCTCTAGACTCCTTGGGCTACGTTTGTCCCATCCTCTCACATTGTGTTTGCCATTTGTTTTCTTCAACGTGATGCAGCTGTCCACTGTGCTTGTTGA